CAATACTGTATTATTAACTATAGTCATCATGCTGTACATTAGATCTTCAGAACTTATTCATCTTATAACTGAAAGTTTGTGCCCTTAGACCAACATCTTCCCATTCTCTGCCCGACTCCCCCACCCCTGGCAACCACCATTCTACTCTCTGTTTCTATGAGTTTGACTTCTTTTTTTAAGATTCCACATATAAGTGATAACATGTAGTATTTCTCTTTCTCTGTCTGTCTTATTTCACTTAGCATAATGCCCTCAAGGTCATCTGTTGTCCCAAATGGCAGAATTTTCTTCTTTTTTAATGCTGAATAATATTCCATTTTATACATATATAGAATTTTCTTTAGCCATTCGTCCATTGATGGACGCTTAAGTTGTTTCCATATCTTGGCTATTGTGAATAATGCTGCATGAACATAGGAGTGCAGATACCTCTTCGAGATAATGATTTCATTTCCTTGGGATAAATACTCAGAAGTGGGATTGCTGGATCATATGGTCGTTCTATTTTTAACTTTTTGGGGAACCTTCATACTGTTTTCCATATTGGCTTTGCCAGTTGACATGCTCACCAAAAGTGTACAAGGGTTCCCTTTTCTCCCCATCCTCACCAACATCTGTTAACGCTTGCTTTTGGATAACAGACATCCTACCAGATGTGAGGTGATATTGTGGTTTTGACTTGCATTTCCCTGATGATTGGTGATGCTGAGCATCTTTTCATGTACCTGCTGGCCATTTGTATGTCTTCTTTGGAAAAATGTCTATTCAGGTTCTTTGCCCGTTTTAAAATTGAGTTATTTGGTTTTTTGCTGTTGAGTTGTAAGAGATCCTTATATATTTTGGAGATTAAGCCCTTATAGGGTATATGGTTTACAAACATTTTCTCCCATTCCGTAGGTTGCCTTTTCCTTCTGTTGATGGTTTCCTTTGCTGTGCAGCAGCTTTTTGGTTTGATGTAGTCCCATTTGTTTATTTTTGCTTTTGTTGTCTGTACTTCTGCTGTCAGATCTAAAAAATTGTTGCCAAGACCAATATCAAGGAGTTTTTTCTTTATGTTTTCTTCTAGAAGATTTACAGTTTCGGGTCTTGTGTTTAAGTCTTTAATCCATTTTGAGTTGATTTTTGTGTATAGTGTAAGATAAGGGTCCAATTTCATTCTTTTGAATGTGGATATTAAGTTTTCCCAACAGCATTTATTAAAGAGACTATCCTTTCCCCATTGTTTATTCTTGGGGATTTTGTCAAAAATTAGTTGACTCTGTACGTGTGGGTTTATTTCTGGGCTCTCTATTCTGTTCCATTGGTCTATGTTTCTTTTTTTTTTTTTTTTCTAGCACTATACTTTTTGATTAATATAGCTTTGTTATACAGTTTGAGATCACAAGATGTGGTGTCTCCAGCTTTGCTCTTCATGCTCAAGATTACTTTAGCTATTTGGAGTCTTTTATGTTTCTATATGAATTTTTAAGATTTCTTTTTCTATTTCTGTGAAAAATGCCACTGGAATTTTGATAGGGATTGTATTGAACTTGTAGATCACTTTGGGTAGTATGGGCATTTTAACAATATTAATTCTTCCAATCCATGAACATGGTATATTTTCCCATTTATTTGTGTCCTCTTTGATTTGTTTCACCAATGTTTTCTAGTTTTCAGTGTACAGATCTTTTATCTCCTTGGTTAAATTTATTCCTAACTATTTTATTGTTTTTGATGCTATTGTAAATGGGATTGTTTCTTAATTTCTTTTTTGGATAGTTTGTTGTTAGTGTATAGGTATACAACTGATTTTTGTATGTGGATTTTGGATCCTGCAACTTGACTGAATTCATTTATCAGTTCTAACAGTTTTTTGGTGGAGTCTTCAGGGTTTTCTATATATAAGATCCCGTCACCTGCAGAGAAAATTTTACTTCTTCCATTCTGATTTGGATGCCTTTCAATTTTTTTTCTTTTCTGATTGGTCTGGCTAAGATATCTATACCACGTTGAATAGGAGTGGTGAGAGTGGGCACTCTTGTTCCTGATCTTAGAGGAAATGCTTTCAACCTTTCACCACTGAGTGTGATGTTAGATGTGGGTTTGTCATATATGGCCTTTATTATGTTGAGGTATGTCTCTTCTATATCCAATTTGTTGATTTTTATCATGAAAAGATGTTGAATTTTGTCAGATTCCTTTTTATGCATCTATTGAAATGATCATTATTTTATCTTTCATTTTTTTAATGTGGTGTATCACATTGATTGATTTGTATCGTATTTATGTTGAACCATCCTTGCATCCTAGGAATAAATCTTGCTTGATCATGGTGTATGATCCTTTTAATGTACTGTTGAATTTGGTTTGCTAATATTTTGTTGAGGATTTTTGCATTTATGTTCATTAGGGACATTGGTCTTTAGTTTTCTTTTCTTGTAATGTCTTTGTCAGGCTTTGGTATCAGGGTAATGCTGGCCTCATAAATCAATTTGGAATTGTCCCCTTCTCTTTAATTTTTTGGAAGAGTTTGAGAAGGATTGGTTAATTCTTCTTTAAACTTTTGGTAGAATTCACCAGTGAAGTCATCTGGTCCTGGACTTTTCTTTATTAGGAGATTTTTGATTATTGATTCATCTTCTTACTTGTTATTGATCTGTTCATATTTTCTGTTTCTTCATGCTTCAGTATTGGTAAGTTGTATGTTTCTAGGAATTTATTGATTTCTTTTAGGTTATCCAATTTTTTGGTGTATAATTAGTTACTCACAGTAGTCCCTTATGATCCTTTGTATGTCTGGGGTATCAGTTGTAATGTCTCCTCTTTCATTTCTGATTTTGTTTATCTAAATCTTCTGTCTTTTTTTAGTCTAGCTAAAAGTTTGTCAATTTTGTTTATCTTTTGAAAAAAACCAGCTTTCATTTTAGTTGATCTTTTCTATTGTCTTTCTGGACTCTATCTCATTTATTTCCCCTCTGACCTTTGTTATTTCCTTCCTTTTACTAACTTCAGGCTTAGCTTTTCCGTCTTTTTCTAGTTCTTCGAGATGTAAAGTTAGATTGTTTATTTGAGATCTTTCTTTTTCTTAATGTAGGCATTTTCGCTATAAACTTCTCTCTTAGAAGTGCTTTTGCCACATCCCATAAGTTTTGATATGTTGTGTTTCCATTTTCATTTGTCTTAAGATATTTTTTGATTTCTCTTTTGATTTTGTCTTCTTTTTAAAAAAAAATTAGTAAAGAATGTTAAAAATGTTCAAACATCTTTCTGGCCATTGAGCCTGTAATCATATTTTTTCTCATTTGATTTATGGATAGATTAAATTATATTCATATACTTCCTGGTATTAAATTATCCTTGTATTCCTGGGAGAGAGACACATAATTATAGTGCATTATTCCTTTAATGTATTGTTAGATTGAATGTATTAGTATTTTATTTAAGATGTTTGAATTTACGTTTGTAAGAAGATTGTTCTATGTCTTTAAGTGTAGTTATTTTTTAGATTATATATCAAAGTTATAATAATTTTGCAAAGTTATTTGAGAAGCTATCTTTCTCTGTAGTTAGAAATTTTTTAAATGGCTTAGGAATTATCAGTTCCTTGAGATTTGAAATATTTTTTAAATGAAATCAGCTGAGCTGGACACTTTTGTGGAAACTGTTTTTTTGGATATCCTTTTTGGTTTCTCCCATCATTATTCCTGTGTTCAAGTTTTCTGCTTCTCAAGTCAGTTTGCTGATTTGTATTTTCATCCCAAATGATCAACGATGCTGTGCATCTTTTCATGTGCTTATTGGCCATGTGTGTATCTTCTTTAGAGAAAAGTCTGTTCAAACCCTTCGTCCATTTTTTAATGGGGTTGTCTTTTTATTATTGACTTGTAACACTTCTTCATGTATTCTGAATACAAATCCCTTATCAGATATATGACATAAATATTTTCTCCCATTCTGTGTGTTGTGTTTTCACTGTCTTGATGGTATCATTTGAAGTTGTAAATTTTGATAAAGTTAATATATCTACTTTTTCTTTTGTTGGTGTGCTTTTGGTGCCATAGCTAAGAAACCGTTGTCTAGCCCAGGGTTGTGAAGATTTAATCTTATGTTTTCTTTTAAGAATTTTATAATTTTTGCTGTTACATTTGGGTCCATAACTCATTTTAAGTTAATATTTGTGAATAGTGTTGTGTAGGGGTCTAACTTCATTCTTTTGCGTGTGAATTGGCCTAGCACCATTTGTTGGACAGACTATTCTTTCTCTATCATTCATTTAATTTTAATCTTTGCATAGGTTTTTGCCTTGGAGCTCAGTTAAAGAATCTTTGCCTTTTAATTTAATTTGAAAGAGGAGTTTCACCCATTTAAATGTATTATTATTGCCGATATATTTAGCCTTACTTTTGAAATATTATTTAGATCTTCCAATTTTTATGTTTCTTTTGTTTTATGTGTTATCACTCTATATATAACCTTTTAAAAAGGTGATTGCTTTACCCTCAGGTTTACAGAATAAGTGTTTCTGTCTATTTTATTTCTTCTTGCTGATAGTAAGAAACTCTCAATAATGTTCATTTCATAAGCCACATACACCAATAGTCTCATTACTTGAGAGTCACACTTCAAGTTGCACTAAATGTAGGTGTACATTCATCAGTATAAATGCAGATGATTGTGTTATGAACTTTTCAAGGACAATGAAATGTGATGGTAGATATTTTGGAGGGTTTGATTTGAAAATGAAATGTCTCATATTGATGTATGATAATAATGATAAACATATTAAACATACAAATATGATGCCACTGCCTTATGTAATAGCTATTTTTTTTTACTTAACCTTACTTAGTAGCTATTTTTTACTTCTGTAAAATCATTCATTGCTTGAAATCTGTATGTCACTGAGGCTCAGAAAGCTACATATAGCAAGATAATGTTGTTTAACGTTACCAGAATTCTACAAATATAAATGAAGTTCACAGTCTCGAAATGTCTTTTTCTATTTTCATGCTTTATTACAGGAAGCATATTCTTTAATTGAGAAGATCGAAGCAGAACAAAATGCCCTATATTCATATCAGAAATATGTAGAAAGTTCAAAAAGAAAGAAAAGCAGAATCCCTCCTCCACCTATCCTGCTATCCCGAACTCATTGTTCTGTGACATTGAAACCTGCTCCCTTTATTTCAGATGTCAAGGTATGTTGTCCATTATCATCTTTACCTCAAGCAATGCAACAAAGGTACTTTTATCACTACAATGACTCATACTTTTGTTGCTTTTGGGATTTGAATAATCTTGATTATAAGCATAGACTCTGGGATTAGTATTCTAATGTCTTAGCTATGCTTTCTTCATGATCTTTTTCCCTTTATGCTATTTCCCTTTTTGCTCCAAATAACCTTGCTATACTCAATTGTATAGTAAGCAGAAATAATAGAGAAGCATTTCTCTCTAAGTATCTTTGTCACAAAGTCATATACTGACATCCTAATGCTCAAGATAGAGAAGGTCTCAGTTGAAGAAGAATAATGGGCTAGCCCCGTGGCTTAGCGGTTAAGTGCGCGCGCTCCACTGCTGGCGGCCAGGGTTTGGATCCCGGGCGTGCACCGACCACCGCTTGTCAGGCCATGCTGAGACTGCGTCCCACATACAGCAACTAGAAGGATGTGCAACTACGACGTACAACTATCCACTGGGGCTTTGGGGAAAAAAATAAATAAATAAAATTATAAAAAAAAAATTAAAACAAAACAAAACAAAAAAAAACAATCAGACATTTGAAGATGATAGAAGTTATTCTCAGAGCCAGTGATGGAGATGGGGAAATTTGGAGGTGGTTAATTTAGAGGTTCTTTCCTGAGTTCTTCCAAGTAAATGGGGATTCTTTTAATGCAAACAAATGACAATTCCAACCATAATTGTAAATTATAAGTCTTTATGTATTTATTGAAGAATGAAATCTCTCTCCCATGCCCCACGCCTTGGAACTTGGCCTAAATATGACCATAACTTGAGATTTAGTTTCCTCACAAGTGTTTGGTTCCACCTAATTTATATTTTAAACATTACATTTTCATCTTTTGGTTGACCAACAACATGCTCTTTGATGTTGATAACAAGTAAACTTTTATCTTTGATTATCTTTAGGATATTCTGCTTGAACTCACATCAACTTGGTATGGTGGAAAGGGCATGCACTTTAAAGTCAGGCAGATGGAGGTTTAAAATTCTAGCTCTACCCCTTACTAGCAGTATGACCTTAGGAAATCTAACAATACCTCCTGAGGTGTTTTTTTGTTTTGTTTATTTTTGTTAGTTGTTTTATTTGTAAAATATGTTTACTGTGAAAATTAAATGAGATAATATATAATATTCTTGGCATATTAATTGATATCCCTTCATCTCTTCTATTAACATATGTAGTAAAATTTACTAAAAACAATTAATGATTTTGTAGACTGTAATTATGTTATTTAATGATTATTTTTCATAAATTTTGTGCAATGAGCATGATTCAGTGTCTCTTATCTGTCAAACTCTGTGGGAGGTAATTGAGGTATAAAAATCAACACAAAGCATGGTTTCATTCTTTGAGGAGCTTCGGATTGATAGGAGATGGACATCAGTGAGCAGTAATACCACCTTCATGATACTTTAAAATTGGGGGAACAGAAGAAGCTTTCGTCTTACACCTAACTGTGCTATAATAAATGCATTCTTACAACTGCTAGCAGTTTTAAAATTCAACTTTGGATTTTTATGGATCTGTTTAAGAATAAGGATTCACCAATTTTGGAAATTCAGTACAGAACTAAGACTGGATGATTGACCAAGAGTTTTTGTTTTTATTCAAATGTTTTGTCTTGTTTAATTCAAATCTTATGTTTTATGTATTTCAATTTAGTGACTAGTTTTGTTTCATAGAAATAAAGGGAATAGAAATAGGAAGGCATGGGTCTCATGTTTCACCTATAGTTGTCGCACTTGTCCTTTAGCACATTACGTGAGGTTTGTCTATATTAGACCTTAGTGGAGTTGTGTGCTCCAGGAAATTATTACCTTCGTTTACCTACTCATCAACACCAGATGGTGCTATGGGCTTAAATAAGTTTTCAGGTTTGAGCGTTCAGCCATCTTTTGTTTTATCAAAATCTCTTGTTAAGGCATTTGTTTCATTAAAATCTGTTTTAATAGTTGAAAATGCTGATGTTATAAACTTTCAGTTCTAAAGTTAGTGGTGATTTTTTCATCGTGTCTTCACTCTTATGTATGTTCTAATTACACATTGCGTCTTATAGTTAAACAAACTAAGATATTTTCTTCTGTGGAACCAAATAAAAATATAAAGTCTGCTAGTAAAAATGCTTTTAGAGAGAATTTTTACCCTTCAAATTCTAGTTTATATATAGATCTTAACTTAGAGCAATAATGATCTAAGTCATATAATACAGTCTTTCTGCCCCTTTTTTTCTCTACGAAAATTTGTACTCTTTTTGCATAGAAAGTCAAGGAAAGTTAGTTTCTAAATTTTTTCTGAGACTCATATGATTTTTTTTCCCCTGGCCTCCAGCTTCCAGGTTCCTTCAACGCTCTCTATATCCTTGGGGTTCTCTTGTCTTTGTCTAGTGCTCCTTAATTACTTGAAAATTCCAAATTTTCTTTGAAGACACAAAGGTTTGGACAATTGCACCAGAAATTCTAATTCATTAAGGCTAGGCTGACTTGGGTATATGTAATTTAAAAAGTAGTTGATTCTGTGCAAACAGTATTTTAGAAAGTGATTCTGCTGCACAGTCAGGGTTAAGAACTAACTACTTGTGCAGACAAGACACGATTAGAAGTTTTCTGTTGATCTGGAGGAAGAAATCACAGGCTAAGCTGTAAGAGGCAGTTGCTTCTTAGAGACAATTCCATTTTTCCTTCTTTTCAGCTCCCCTTCTAATTTAGGAGTTGAGATGTTGTGAGGTAGAGCCTCTGGAGAAAAGGGAGTGCCACAATGATGACAACCCCCCAGCCCCAACCCCTGGACAGTATCGCTTCTTCATAGTGCTATTCCCTAGTTATCAACTCGCTCCCTTTTCTCTGCAGTGAGAATAGTTCATTCCAAGAAGGAATCTCCATTATTTTGACATGTTGGCAAAAAGACCATTGTCTAACCATTTAATGAAGTTTAAATTTGGTTATTTTTGTGGAATTTGCATTTGCTTTTGGTTTATGTCTATATTTAAGAATTATCAATGGAATATCATGTTTCAGAAAAGTTATAAACTAGAGAAAAAAATTGCCCATAATCTTGCCATTTGACCATCCAAACTCTACCACTATTCTTCTCTAGGAACATTTTCTTTCAGGCTTTTTCGTATGTATTTTTACATTTTATTTTAAATGCTACAATTTAGTATTTTGCTTCTTTTTCCACTTGCTTTTTTTGTCATAAATTATTAAATAAAATATGAAAATCGTTTCAATGTTGATCTTTTTTTTTTTCATCAAGATTAAGTCACCTTCAGAGTCACTCTCTGCCACTCTCTGATCTTGGGCAAGTTATTGAACATTTCTGCATCTCCATTTCCTCTCAAGCAAAATGACAACAATAATCCCATCTCATAGGGATGTTGCATATTTTAGAAAGTACGTGTAAATTTTCTAACAACAGCACACAGGAACTGCTCAGTTAATGGTAGTTGAAAGAATCAATAATGAATAATATTTTAGTCTTGGTAGTCCCAGATAAATGAGCCCTATATTTGTCTTTATTTTTTGGAAATTAAACCTATTTGTAAACTTAGATTTCATGCTTTAAAACTAGAATACTTACATATTTACTTAGAAAAGTATTTCTTTTGCTACATCATGATAAAAGAAATTGAGTGCCTTGTTAAATAGACTACAGATGATGGGCTTGTCTCTCTCCTCTGCAGGTCTCCTGGTACTGCATTTTGGGTTGCAAAGCAGAAGGGAGCTACAGAAAAGTAAGACTAAACAATAATCATCTCCCAAACTCAGGAGAAGCGGTGCGTCAAACTTAAAAATCCTCTAAATGTCAGGAAATCTTACTAAAAGTCTCATTAATGACAATTGAATGTTTTTCCTCCTTTTGAAGTCATTATTTTAGTGACTTTCTCTAATTTTAATTTGAATCATAACTAAAATCCAAAAGTAAATGAAAAAAGTTTTATTTTTTTACATATAAAGTTTACTTAATTATATTTTTAAAGTCCCATTCCTTTAACTTTCCATACATAATTTGAAATATGTTTTTGTTAATAGATACCGGCTGATGGTAAAAGCATTTTTGAAGTGAAAGGTTTGGAAACCAATGAAAAATACGTCTTTGCAATTGCTGCTTATTCCTCTAATGGGAAGCTTGTTGGTGATGCTGTTGGGGAGACAACTAAACCGATTCTGGTTTATCCGCCTCTTTCTGCTGTTACTGCTCGGATGTTCTTGATGCAGGTAGAAGAGATTTCTGCTAATTTTTTCCTCTATGTTTTTTTCTGTTAAGCAGTTACTAAGTAATCTCTGGTGGAAAAAAAAATCACAGCAGATATTCTAAAGCTCCTGCAATACGTATTTTCCATTATTGCAGCTTAGTCTCATAAAATAGGAATCCTTCCCTCTCTTATTAGTGAGCTTGCTTTTTACAATTACATTTTTTTTCTGGATTACAAATGTAACATATATTAATTTTAGAAATTTGGAAAATACTAAAATGCAAAAAGAAGAAAATAAATGTTATCTGTTATCCTATTCTATTCTGTCATCCATTCTTAATCTGGGGTAATTTTGGCCCCCAGTGACATTTGTCAATGTCTGGAGACGTTTTTTGTTGTCGTAACCAGAGGGGTGCTACCGGCATCGAGTGGGTAGAGGCCAGGGATGCTGATAAGCATCCTACAGTGCAAAGGACAGCCTGTCATAACAAAGAATTATCCAGCCCAAAATGTCAATAGTGCTAACGTTGAGAAACGCTGATCCAGAGATATCCTTTCATTTGTGTATGTGTGTGTATACATTTATATATACACACACGCATATTTATATATATATACATACATACATGTATGTGTATGAATTTATTTATAATATATAATTTTAATCATATTATATATTATATTAAATGCTGATATTTTCATTTAATATATAATTGACTTTTTTTCCATTCCATTAAGTATTCTTCCAAAACATAATTTTTAACGGCTGCATGGTATTGCATTTCATAGATAGACCATAGTTTATTTAGTAATTCTTCATTGTTGGGCATTTAGATACTTTCCAGTCTTTTGCTATTATAAGCAAAACTGTAATGCGTATCTTTGTATATAAATCTTTGTCTGTATCCATGATTACTTTTTTGGGATAAATTTATAGACGTGAAATTTCTGCATTAATAAAGACAGACGGACCTGAGTTCAAGTTCTAGCTCCTCACAGTAGCCATGTGATATCAGGCAAGTAAGTTTCATCTGTGAAGTGAGAATAATAATAGTAGCTACCTCCCAGAGGTGTTATGAGTGTTAAATGCAATCATGAATGTCAGATGTTTACCCATAGCACTTATCATACAGTAGGCACTTAATAAATACTATTATTGTTTTTAGTTATGGATATACTCATGAATTAACATTTTTGCTGAAATGATTGCTTGACTTAAAACGTGTCACCAGTGAGTAGGACACTAGAAAGAGTGACTCATTGACCTAAGTTTCAAGCATCTAATTTTAAGCCTATTCTTGTCTGTAGAGTTGATGACTATTCTAAATTTTATCACATTTCTATTGTGCTATTTTTTTCTCTTAATAGTTGATTAGTATTATAAGCTAAGCTCTTAGCGGTATTTTATATTATCATATTTTTCAAAGAAAATTAAATTGAGAGAATTGCTAGGATTTGTCTACCATTGATTTAGCATGTCATATTGGCTCATGGTTTTCTGATGTTTTTATTTCTTTGGAATCTAATATATTCCCTAATTTGCAGTGATGGAGTTATTTCAAAGTGAGGAGCCGAATATTTCATCTAGGCCTAATTTTTCTCTGGGGAGTGGTTTGACTTTTGGGCTTCATTTGGCAGAACTTTCATTGAAAGTTAATAAAACTAAGTCTAAGCTATATTGCTGGGCTAATGAGAAGTGTCATAAAGCAATGGCCTGTTTTCCTTTATTGATACTCTATTTGCAGTCCTGTAGTTCATTTATGACAGTGTATGAGCATTCCCTCTCATAATGTTAAGTGACTAAAGCAGAATTTTCTCACTTAAAACTTCCTTAATTTACAACTGTTGAAGTTTAAGCTTTTAAGTTCTAGCAAGAAAATGTACCTTTCTTTTGGTATTGCAATCTATTTTTCATGAGAATGGCTAGTTTTTAGTTTCAGGATATTTCTGTTCTTTAAAAAATATTGTAAATATTTTATAGTAAGATACAGAGATGTTTCACTAAATGCGTATGATAAACTTGGCTTGGGATTTTAGGTTGTACTTTTGCTCAATATTATTCTGTAGACATTAATAAAGTCAGGTGAATCTTCACTAGGTTTTCCCTTAATGTAGAAAGTTATTAATTTAGGCTATCTGAAAAATTTTTTGAGGAACCTTTATGAATGATATATTTTCCATGGATGTTTTTCAATTTCCCCCTCTTTATAGCCTCATTTCTTTTTGTTCTTCCCCTTTAAGTCAGGAATGACTAGATAATGTGATACAAAATGAGAAAATTAGAAATCTATGAGCAAGATTTTAGGATTTTAGGCAAATTGCTTGGTTTCAAGTTCCCTATCTGTAAAATGGATATATGACCAAATGCCATGTACTGCTGGATTATTGAACTACTAAATCAAAGAGTGAATGGGCACAATGGCTTGCTGAGAAAAGGAAATGGGGAATATCATTAATTAAAAAAACTACTGTGTGCCAGGCATTTTAAAATTCATTATTTCATTTATTACAATAACTCAGTGGAGTAGTAGTATTACTTTCATTTTATAGTTGAGGAAACTGAGATTAATTTAATTCTTCCTCTGCCGATCCCATTTTATTTCAGAAAGGGTGTCTCAGGTTAAGTGATTTACCCAAGGTTATTTGGGTAGCAGACGGTAAGCCTGACACTTGAACCAGCTCGTGACTCTCTGCTGCTCCGTCTAGGTTCCAAGGAAGTCATATGTTCCTGTGCCAGGTTCTTCTGGAGCCCACATCTCTCATCTATTTTCTGCCTGGGTTGGTGGTGTTCAGCAGGTCCTGATTACAGTATCGGCAGTAGAGTTTGATGCCGGGACATGAGTGCTTTGTCAGTAATCACAATGGTGGCAGGAGAATGAAGTTCATACATTTTTTTCCACTTATATGAATTCATTGAAACTAATTAATAGAAACTAATTAATAATCTCTGTGTTTTGTCTATGATCATTCAAATTAAAAAAAATATACATAAAGCTACCAGGTAAAAGATAGTCATCCTCATTTTTAAAGCTATTTAAGAAGTTTCAAGTCTTCTTTTCCCTCTCATCCTCTAGCTGAATATTACTACACTCTCTACTCATCTATTTATTGATGAATTATTTATCATTGTCTGTTTTGTGTCAAGTTCTATTCTAGATGTCATCTCTTCTTCCTTTGAACTGTCTTTGTTATCAATCTCATTACCATAACAATAACCCTGGTTTAGATAGTTTTGACTTATGGTTTCAGTTAAGACTCTGATTACAGGAAAGGGAACCAGCCTGGCTTGGGGGATGTAGCCAGGTCCTGAGAAGGCTGCGGAGTCCAGGCGGCTCTAGGTCTCACATCTTTGTTCTCTCTATACATCTGCTTTCTTTTTTTCTCTCTAAAGGTTGACTTTCTTTCCTTCTCCATCTCTGCAGGAAAAATGTCAGTTCCTGAATTTTTATATATCCCTCAATTTCAGCTATAAACAGAGACCAGCTAGCCGGCTCCTAATCTTGATTCTAAATTCCTGGGAAAGAGACTCTGATTGGCCCACCAAATGTAATAAAGAGTCTGACCTCATTTTTGATGTTTGACCACTGACTTGTTTTTAAATCTCACTCTTTTTTCCTTTGGCCCCACATCTAGGCAGGCTGACAGGGAGGTCTGTGAGCTCACCTTCTCCTTTGGTGCCAACAGAAATTTTAAATCTCCCAGCTGGCAGGAACTTTCCCCACTCCCACCCCCCAGCCACTAATCAAGGCCCAACCCATTCCTTCTGCTTTGCCCAAGCCAGCCCAGACCTGCTTGTGCCCCCTCAACTCTCCCTGTGAGTCCCTTGTGTGAGTAATAAACTTTCCCCCAATTCTCCTGGTGTGTGTAGCGTCATCAGCCTCAACATCAAAACCACACTTTGTCGGGGGGGGGTCCATCTTTGCGGGGTGAGGGTGGGGGTGGGAGTGGGGGTGGGGGAGCAGCTATAGAACACCAGCTTGGGTCAGATACTAACTCTGGGCCAGTCAACCATCTTATAGTATAACTACTGGGTGTCGTCTTCTGTGGGTGGAGGGAAATTATCAGGAAAAGAGGATTTTTAAATTCATTCAATGCATTGTTATTGAGTGCTTACTCTGTGCCAGGCATTGTTCCAGGCTAGTGATTCTAAACCTTAAGCATGCATCAGAATAATCTGGAGTGCTGGTGAAGCAGATTGCTGGGTCCTAATGCCAGAGTTTATGATTCACTAGGTCTGGGGTTGGGCCTGGAATTTTGCATTTCTAACAAGTTCCTAGGTGATACTGATGCTGATGGTCCAAGGACCCTACTTTGAGAACCACTGTTCTAAGCAAAGTGAACAAAATGCCGTAGTAGGAGATAGGTCATAAACAATGACCATAGTAAACAAGTAAATTATCTAGTATATTAGAAGATAAGGTCTATGGAAAGAAATGTAGAGTATGGTGAGAGGAATTAGAAATGTGCAGTGGGGGAATGGAAGGTAGATTACAGTATTAAGTAGGGTGATCAGGGAAGGCGTCATCTAGAAGGTGAGATTTGAGCAGAGGCTTGAAGGAGGTAAGGGAGTGGTTCTCTGGAGGAAGAGCATTCCCCAGAAGGAGCGAGAGCCCTAAGGTGTACCAGAAGTGCACCTGGTTTGTTTGATAAACAGCAAGGGGGCCAGTCTGGTTGGAGCAGAGGGACCCAGGAAGAGTAAAAAGATTGGTCAGAGAGGTAAAAGGTGAGTGGGTGGGTGGGGGAGCAGATCATGAAAAAACTTCTAGGCCATTGTACGAACTTTGGCTTTTACCTTGAGTGAAATGAGTTTTGAGTAGTGGGGTGACATAATATGACTTCTATTTTCAAAGGCCCACCCTGGCTGCTGTGTTGGGAACAGACCACAAGAGGGCAAGTGTGGAAGCAGAGGGACCTATCTATTGCTGTAATTCAATGGCAGGTGGAGGTGGCTTGGCCAGTGTGATAATAGTTGTATGGTGAGAAATGGTCAGATTCTGGATTTTTAAAGAAGGAGTTAACAAGAGTTCCCGATGGAAATCATGTAAAGAGAAAAATAAAAGATGACTCAAATGTACTTAGCTGACTAACTGGATGGGTAGACTTGACATCGACTGAGTTGGGGAAGGCTATGGGTGGTGTAGATTTGGGGCAGGGGGAGATCAGAAATTCGGTTTGGAGGATGATGAAGTAAGGTATTTATTAGATATTCAGAGAGAATTGTTGAGTAGTCAGTTAGATGTATGAGTCTGGAGTTTGGGAGAGAGGTCTGGGCTGGAGAGGGATTTGAGTGTAGTCATGTGACAATCAAAGCTGTGGGACTGGATGATATCACCAAGGAAGTGAATGCAGACAGAAGAGAGGAGAGGTCCAAAGACTGAGCCCTGGGGCTTGCCAATGTGGAGAGGTTGGGGAAAAGAGGAGGAGCCTGCACAGGCAACTGAAAAGGAATATGGAAAAAAACCCCCAGAGTGTGGAGTTCTAGAAGCCAAGTGAAGGTTATGTATCAAGGAGGACGTCTCTACTGTACTTAGTAATTTCATTAGTCTTTTAGTCCTTCTTTCTCATTTTAACCTCACCCCGTCTAAAATCTATTCTATATGTCACTACCAGTTAGCCGTCTTTGAACCTGCTGATATCATGGTATTCCTCTGTAAACCTTAGTTTTATCATCGCATCTTTTCTTGTTTCGTGATGTCCACTAACTGAATAAATAGCATTATTTTAAAAGGAAAGAATATTTAATTATAGTTTCTCCAACTCTCTTACACACCGTCTGTCATTATTTTCCATGGTAAATCTTTGAATTATATGGTGTTTTAGTGACCACTTCATCCAACTCCTTCATTTGACCAATCCGGCCCAGAGAAGGGACCTCATCTACCATTTAAGCCTTGGCTCTACTATTTTTACTGAATATCAGGCTCTGTACAAATTATTCAACTTCTCAATGCCCCAGTTTCCTCTTCTGAAAGCTCGGGATGGTAATAGAGCTCACTTCATAGAGCTGTAATGAAGAGTCAACACAACTATGCACATAGAGTGCTTGTTCCGGTCGGTACTTCTTTAAACACCTCCACCTGATTTTCCAGGCCTTCTGAAATCATGTCCCACTTTACCTGTCCAATCACATCGCCTGTTTTTCTGCAAATTCTGACCTGTCTTTCTACTCTCTCCTGAATGCGCTATGGTGATTTCCACTACTGAACCTTTTCCAGATCTGTCTAAACTGTGCCCATCTGAATCTTATCCCTGCCTTAGGGTTCAACTCAAGCTCTGATTCCTCCTTGAAGTCTCCTTTTCTCCTTTTCTAAGCCTCCACAATTATTATGTTGTTCTTTTTAGTTTTTCTGTGATTTCATGTATTTTATGTCTGTAACTTGATTACAGTTTCATGGAGCACGAGATCATTTTAAGCTTTGAAGAATTTCTCCTTACAGTGCTTAACACACAGTACAAACTTCATAAAGTTTACTGGTTGGTTGATTATGAGTACTGACTGGGCAGATTTAAAAAGTTCTGGCCCTATAAATTATTCCCTTGGGTGAAATATATTCTAGCAACATGTCATTTATATACTTAATTTAATGAATTTATTTATTCTTTATATCCTACCTGCTTCCATTAAGGATTTGAAGTAGCATATAACTCTCGTGGTGAGATTTCATATTGTTAAACATATTTGAATAGAATGATTTTTAGAAATACTTTTAAAGAAATATATTCTACCAAAACAAATAGGTAAGTCAATGATTTTTTTTCCTCCTGAGCTTCTAGGTTGTACCAGTGAAATCAGTTATTTTGCCTAACATTGAATGTATTAAACTTAAAACATATCATGGCTTCTTGGAAGCATCTCTATTTTATTCTTCACTCTTTTTAGCTGTGAACTCTTTGTTGCACAAAAGCTTTGGAAGTGTCAGTCAGAACCAGAAGAGAATGAAGTATATTTCGTATTTTGGGTTTGGGAAATCTGATTGTTTCTCTTGGAACAGATTGTTCATTAAAACAGTGTCTATAATAAATGGAGCGTACTGCCGAGATAGATGGAAATGAAATTAATTTGGCTCAGATGTGATCTTTGTTTTGCTTATGAGAATTTGAAACATCCTTGCAGAGTTTCAAATTTCCATGCAATTTAGAAGTAAAAGAGATTTCAAAATGTGTCTGTCTCCCTCGCCAGTGGCCGTCGTTACCTTACCGTGGCACCACAGAACGGAACAGCAAACGTGAACAACTGTCTATGAAATTGGTGTGTGATAGGACCTCATCAGAATTCTTGCTTAAAATACACATTTCACAAAGAAAAATATCGCAGATGATAATGTCCTTTGTGTTGTAGGTTGCCTATCAGATTGGTAACTATGAGTTGGCTAAGAAAGTTTTCTCACCAGTTTGGGATTATTTTGTGGCTCCACCACGTCCTGATGAACAATCGGTTATTTGTTCAAGCAATATGATGACTGTTACACAGAGAAGGTAATTAGAAATATTCTTTTAAAATATTTATTTGCTTATTGAAAATATGGATGTTGGATGTGAAGCCTAGAGTTAGTTTATTTTCTATTTCATGTTAAGATAGTCGACGTAAAACTATTTCTAATAAGTATTTTAATAAACGTATATGTTCCAAGGTCTCAAGTCCTTGTTAGAAACTTCTTTGCTGGAGTCAGAAAAAACACCAGAGGCATATAGATGCATTCTGAATTTAAGGTAATGAAGGTTATGGAAAAAAAATACTAAATATTGACCAAGGTAATGTCAGTTATACTAGAAAACACAAATATGTGTGGAGAACTTTTGTAACAGAGAAAGGCTAGGTTGGGGTTAAGGTTATGGTCTAATAGGTGGACTGTTAGGGTAGGAAGGCTTTTCCTCTGACTGAAGAGGCTCCCAGGATTAGATCATAAGCAACTGCAAATAATCTCATAGAAGCCATATAAAACCACAGGCCACTCTGTTTTACTGCCCTTTTTCCTTAGAAGAACAAAGTTTAAGAGCAGCCTCACAAGTGAGTATTGGTGTGATTTTAGGCTGCCTCAACAACAAGTTCAAAAACAACAACAATCTCCTTTACCTGCTTGTTAATGCCTGAAATTCCTTTAATAAGAAGACAAAACCCTTCACTCCTCAATCAAAGGCAATGAGCTTAAAATGCACATGCTGGTTGAGGCAAGGCATTGATAATGCTTGTTCACATAAAGGTATAATCTATTCAATTAAACAAATGTGGACTTAGCATTTACCATGTACAAGGATGCTAGATGTTAGGTGGGATGGATTTGAAAGGCATTTCAGAGGTGGAAGAGACAGGACTCGGAAGATTTTATGTGACTTGTGAGGATAAGGGAGCAGAAGTAATGCAAGTCGACTGGGATTTCCAGTGTTTTCTGGCTGGGAAGCCTGAGACATTTACTAAGGGAATGTGAGAGGTGGAACAAGTTTTTGGAGGAAGATAATGAATTTGACTGGAGATATTTTGAGTTTAGTTTTCCAGCAGGATGCCTTTGTGGATATGAGATGTCCAGGAGGTAGCTGAATATTTAGTGTTGGCATCGAGGAGAGAGGTCAAGGCTAGAGATACAGATTTGGAAATTGCCCACTGAAGTCATCATTGAAATTTTGACAATGACTGATCTCTCCCAGAGAATGACTGTTTAGCAGAAAAGATAGAAGCTGGAATTGAACCCTGGGCATTGCTTACATTTAAAAGGCAGAAACGGCAGATGGAACCAAGGAAGGATATTGAAAATGTTTTGTGCTGGTCTCAACCTATCAATAACCAGTGTTGTGGCTGGACCAGCCCTTGTGGTTCTTATTATGACTGTAAGAAGTCCTTCAGCAGTAACAATCAGGAAACTTTGAAAAGAGAAAGGTTTATTACTTACAGGACTTGGAAATTACATAGCACACCTGGGGTCACACAGAGAGGTTGCAGGTAGAGAGAGCCAGAGACAGATCGTGCATGGGCCAGGGGTCTGCTTTTATTGGGGTCAAGGGTGGGGGTCTAAGGTTTTGAGGACTCACTCTTTATTGATGAATTTAAAACATAGGAGCAGGAATTTAAAGTATGGGAAGAGAAAAACAAGTGGCCCAAATGGTCAGTTATCAAAATCAACCAAGATCTCTGAAACAAAGGGGCCTCAGTGGGGGTGGTGACCTGGCTTTTTATCTAGTTGTGTTGCTGGCTACGTGTTTATTTGAGATAGCCATCTTTGAAGCGGATGCCTCTTCTAAGTGGGTGCCTCAGGAATCAAAGCTTAAGTCATGCATTTGCATTACAAAAAAGAGAAAACCCAACTGTCAGGTCTTACACTATAGAAAAGGAGCAGTCCAAGAGGTGAAAGTCTGGGGAAGTGCATTGCCAAAGGAAGTGAGGGTTTCACCCTGGAGGGACTGGTCAACAGTATTAAATGCTAGTGCAAAGTCGGGCAGAGCAGTTGCTCAATAAAATGCTACAGAGAGGTTGGGTAGGGTGAAAACTAAGAAGAGGCTTTTAGAGTTGGCAATTAGGAGGCCATTGGTGAGTTTTTTGTGGTGTGATGAGCCAGAAACCTTTTGCAATTGGCTAAGGAATAAGTGAAAATGGGGAATTGTAACAAGCAAAGATCACTCATGTGAAGTTTGGTGGTAAAGAGAAGGGGAAAGTGGGCAGAAACTTGAGGGGGAAGGCAGGCTTAAGGAAAGAATTTTAGAGAGTGGAGAGAAGGGAGACAGTGGAGAGAGAAAGACTGAGGATACAAGAAAATTCACATGATAATGGCACTATGGTGGTAGAACTAGGAGGATATAAGAGCACACGAGGTGGAGAACAGGGGGTTTAGAACATTTGCTGTGGGGAATGTGAACAAGGAGACATTAGGGATAAACAGAAGTGTTGCTGAGAAGTACTAATGACTAAGTTGATGTCACATAACATGAATTTGTAGTAGGGCCCATTTACTTGTGGCTAAGGGCCACATTCGATTCATCTTTATATCCCAGGGCCCAGAATAGTGTCCTGTCCTTAGTAGGTGTTCAGCAAATGCTAGTTTGAATGAAAAAAAGAATGAGGAGAATTCATTGGACAGTGACATCTGTGCAAGGTCAGGCAAATTGATTATTGCATGAAATAAGGGGTGCAGCATCTAAAATGCTGGAAAGGTCACTGTTGGAATGACTGACTAGAGTCTGAGCTGGATAGGGAAGGAAATGGAGCCAGGAGGAGGCAATAGCCTGGACTCATTGCACGTGTCAAGGTAGTGACGGTCATCCTGAGGACAAAGAGAGTTTAGTATGGTTGCAGGAGCAGGAGAACTAAAATTCTCCTGGCAAAAATAATTTCAGAGTGTAATATGGTGGTGAAACAGATAATCTTCAAGTGTGAATTACTGATGTCGATCCTTTTCTGTTTTCTAGGGATAGGAGATGTGGACAGTAGATGGACCTGAAGCTTAGAAGGGAGGGTTTGCCACCAAGGCTAAGGGCAGGGAAGGGAATACAGTCATGCATCGCTTCACAGCGGGGATATGTTCTGAGAAATGTGTCATTAGGCAATTTCGTTGTGCAAACATCATAGAGTAGACTTACACAAACCTAGATGGTATAGCCTACTACACAGCTAGGCTATGTGGTACTAATCTTATGGGACCACTGTCGTATACGTGGCCTGTCATTTTCCAAAACATCGTTATGTGGGGCATGACTGTATTGGAAACAAAGATGGAAGACTGCAGATTTCACAGTTTTGCCAGTGGGGCACTGTTGACTGCAATTTAGAAAAGATAGTTAGAAATAATGCAACAGTTGTTAAGACTCTGCTTCTCTCTCTGCCTCTGTCTCTGCCTCTCTTTCTCTTTAATCATGGCCGATTTTGCTATAAATGACTCATTTTCAGAAAGTTCATTAATTGAAATTTTAGGACTATTTTCCAAGCTTCTGATTATCTATGGTGATTTCATTATATTGATAAAAAAGAACTTTATATATTAGAACTAGAAGATTTTGCCAACAGTTATATTTACGTACCTATGACGTAATATGTCAGCAGCTTAGTTTCCTTAGTCGTTAATTTTAAGGATAGTCTTTAATTTTACTTTAAATAGCTGTACGAGAGAAGATGCTCCACAAATCTTTGCTGCTATCTTGGGATCATTGTGTAAATATTAAGAACAAATCAGTCTAAAAAGGCGCATTCACCTGCTAAATCATTTTATATTTATACCTATAACATCATTTACTTTCCTTTGCAGATTACATTCAAATATTTTGGCAGAGACTTCTTCAATCCTCTTATACCTTTTTCTTAGAAATATTTTTGTAACAAGTGACATTAAAATTAAAGAAGAAAATCTTTTCTGTGATAATATTAAAGGCAATGAGATTTTCCCCTCCCAGCAAGTAAGTGAATTAAAATGACTGAAAATGTGCCAATTTCCTTTTATTTGTTTCCTGATGTTTCAAGTTCATGTTCTTTTGGGATTGCATATCCTGGCTGGTGAATGGACTGAGAGGCCATGTTGTGATTGTGCAGGTTTATTTGATATTCCATGTAGGTTTCACAGCCTGAGTTCATATATATTTTTATTTTTTTCAATTTATCTTTTTTCCCTGTACAAAAGTAGGATACATTTCAAATATTCAAAAATGTATAATGTGTAAAGTGAAACCCATTGTAATCCTATTGTCCCTAAGAATACTATGATTTTGTTTTCACATGATGTCTCGAATTTTTAAAGATATGCACACACAAATCTGTTATTGTTATTATTATTTTTTTTACAAAAATGGGATCATGATATACTTGCTGTTCTGCAACTTTCCTATTTAACACTTTTTATAATTTATCTTGGGCATATTTTCATGCTGGTACATATCAATCTGCCAAATTCTTTTTAATTTTAATATTACATTCCTGTACAGAGGCAGGAATTTAACCTATCTCCTACTGATACATGCTTAGGGTGGTTATAAACATTGCTCTATGTGTATATGCAACTTTATGATGTTCTTGCTTTTAATAACTTTTAATAATAAAATAAATAAAAGTAAATAAAATAAAAATAAAATTAAAAATTAACAAAAATAAAAACTAAAAATTAAATTTAAATAATAAATACAAAATAAATTTAAAAAATGCTTTTAATAACAATCCTATGCTATTGTTTTCATTCTGGATTGAGGTTCACTTTTCTTTCTCTTTCCTTCTTTACTCACCTTAGATATATGGAGGCTTTTCCCACATGCTTTTTTTTTTACATTGCTTTTTCCTCCCCATCCATTTATTCATTAATTAGTTAACCAATAAATTGTTACATGAGACTGTGCCACTTTCTGTGGATGTGAAAGTCAAAAAAACATGACCCTTTGCCCAAGACAGGTTCACAGTCTCGTAGAGCTGGAGCACTCACTACCGTCAGTCTGTTCCTACTACCTTGCGTTCAGTTTCTTCTTTCAGTGTCCAGTCTGGAAATAAAGACGATCTTTAAGTGCTTCAATGAATTCCAAAATGCTAGACTATCATTCTAGTAATAACTTGACGTATGGAAATTTCTGATTGCCACTCATACAGTTTTCTTTGTATGTAATGTATGTAGTTATAGAAAAATAATGAAATCTTTCCCCAGGAAAGGGAAATGAGGATTCCTATTTTTTTTTTAAGTGGCATTTAATCACAAAAATCTAAACTTGACATTTTGCTGTTATTTTTATTTAAGTAGCAGAAGTATAACAGAAGATTAGTTCGCTCTACTGAAAATTTACCATTTTCTCACAAATCCATAAGGGAAATGAGACTCTGTTAACCAAGTAGGAGCAATGTTACAGAGACATTATACTTTAATTCTTACTTGTTATAATTTATGTTTTTGAAAAAGCTAGATTTTTTCTAAGATTAAAATACAGCCAAGATTTTATTTTACCAATTAAAAAAGATTGGTTTCTTTTCTGTTACTAGTAGTATTTTTATTGTTTTACAAAACATTCTCAAGTTTAATTCTAAGATTGTGTTATCCATATGTAGCATTACTGGGGAGTCAGAGTTGTTCCTGAATTTAGATTTTCTTCATACTAACATTCTTGTCGTTGTTAAGTCACAAGGATCACATTTCTCATCCTTTCTTCTCCTTAGAGACACATTGACTAAGCACCTGATGTTCACTTTGATTAATAATACCTGTTTCTTTACAGATTGCTAGACTAAAGGAATGTGAGAGAGTATTAGTGGCATTGGAACTTAGCAACTACCTGAATGATTCCAGTTATGCTCTTCAAGCTGTGACTCAATGTTATGGCCTCCTTGCTCCTATAATCTATCACAATATTGTTTTGGTACCTGTCGTACAGGTAAGGGTGTTTTTTTCCCCCAAGTAAGAGTATTTTTACAAAGGCAACCCAACAATGCATTTTGGAAAAGAAAAAGCAATGTGTCTCTTATAAAGCACAAATAGGTCAAGAACAAGTATTATGAAATTTCGTGAGTTAACTGAAAAACATTTTAATAATTTGAATTATATTTCTGGGCAACCATAAATAAGGACTTAAAGTGTGTTTCTCTGAAAATATTCAGCCCCGTTGCTGTCCATATTTAAATATTGGCAATCTGCTTTTCTAGTTTTTTTCCTAAGTCTTTCAATTTTTATATTCTTGTGATGTTAGAAAGAGTAATATTTATTCAAAACATGTTGTTAAAGTCATCATCTGGGGAAAAACTGGTGGATGACTCAAGAAAAAATACTCGATGTCTTGGTGATGGAGGAGTTGGAATTTATGGAAAAAGGGTTTAAGTGAGAACTGGCTGCAGGGATTATATTAGTCATCTATCTTTCCTAAAAGATCACCATAAACTTAGTGGCTTACAACAACATCCATTTACTACCTCATAGTTTCTGTGGGTCAGGAGGCTGGATACAGATTGGCTGGGTCTTCTGCTCAGGGTCTCATTAGGCTGAAATCAGAGCGTTGGCTAGAACTGTGATCTCATTGGAGGCTTGGGGTCCTCTTCCAAGCTCACTGGTTGGTGAGAGAATTTATTTCCTTGTGGTTGTGTGATAGGAGGACGTTAGCTCCTACAGGCTGACTACCGATTGATTCCCCGCCACGCGGCCTCCTCCACGACACGGCAGTTTGCTTCTTTAAGGCCAGCAGGAGCGTCTCTTCTAATATGCATGAGGAGTCTTATATAATGTAATGTAGTCATGAGAGGGACGATCCTATCACATTCACAGGTCCTACCCATACTCAAAGAGAAGGGATTATGCAGGGCTTGTACATCAGTGGGAGGAATCTTGGGGACTATCTTAGAATTCTGCCTACCACAGGGAAGTAATGAGAGAAGTACAATTTTACTGCTGATACTTACAGAAAGTTATCATCTTGACCATCATTGTCATTGTCGTCGTCATCATCATCATCATCCTCAACTCAGATTTTGAGAACCAAGAAGATAAGAATAAACTCATACAAAGTATAAAAATTTTTAATTCACTTTTGAGGAAACTAACCAGAGAGCTTAAGTAACTTAACAAACATTCACCCTGGGGTGGCCATTCTGGAGCATAGACATGCCTCCTTCTCCCGCATTCCCCACATCCAGTAGCTCGGCTACTGAAGAGACCTGCTTCCAAAATCCAAAATCTAGACTCATAGTTGGTAGCCTTCCATGTCACTTATAAATGGATTGGAGCAGTATTCCCAAATGTGGAATATGCTTCCTCCACAACCTAAAGGTGCCTACCTGGCATTGTCCGTTCTTCTTAGAGATGAGAGGCCAGATGTTAGACCTACTTTGGAGAGGGTGTCTCAGCATGTCCCAGATTTTTCATTAATGTGTCAGGCCCCTGACTCTTCATAGGGTTTATTTCTACCCTCTGGAGGACATGCATCTTACCAAGGTCTTCAATGTACTTGCATTTTCTTGCTCATTAGGTCTAATTAACATGATGTTATTGATATAGTGGTCCAATGTTTTGTCTTGAGAAATGTCCAGAAAGTTCACATCTTTTCATAAAATATGATGTCAGAGATGGAGAGCTATCACTGTCCTGGGGGCAAGACTCTACATGTATGCTCTTGTCTGCCCAGTGTGCATGGGAACTTCTCCCCAAAAGGATATTATTTCTATCCAATAAGATAAAAAAGAAAACATTAACCATATCAATGAATACTTTTAATGTGCTCTAGCAAAGATACTACATTGGGAACAGCAGCTGTAATTGATGCTCAGTTGGTTAAGTTCAGGATAGTCCACTGTCATCCTCTAGGGTCCCACTGATTCAGGATGTTATAGCTATGAGAAAAAGTGTCAGGAAAGGAGTTTCTAATTAAATTGTGTTGTTTGGAATAGGAAAAGATGAGTGGAACAGAGGGGAGATTCCAGAAATAGGCCTCAGTATGTATGAGAACGTAATTTATTACAGAATTGGCATTCTAATCAGTGGGAAAAGGATGGATATTTTTAATAAATGGTGACAAAAAAACTGGATGTTTATCTGAAAGAGAGTAGAGTTTGACCCCTATTTTGTACCATACATAAAAAGTCCAGGTGTATTAAAGACTTAAATGTAAAATGAAGCAAAACATTTTAGGAAAAAAAATCCCAGGAGATTACATGTGCAGTCCAGGGTTGGGAAAGCCCTTTCAAACCAAGACAGCACTCTTAGAAATAACAAGATGGGCCGGTCCGGTGGCACAAGGGGTTAAGTGCGCGTGCTCCACTGCGGTGGCCCGGGGTTCGCCGGTTTGGATCCCGGGCGCGCACTGCTTGACAAGCCATGCTGTGGCGGCGTCCCATATAAAGTGGAGGAAGATGGGCACAGATGTTAGCCCAGGGCCAGTCTTCCTCAGCAAAAAAAAAGAGGAGGATTGGCAGATGTTAGCACAGGGCTGATCTTCCTCACAAAAAAAAGAAAAAAAGAAATAACAAGAAAGATGAGACGTATTTGACTATATTTATGGCAACCTATGTGTGACAAAAAGGACCATACCAAAGATAGTAGAAAAGTTATAGATTTGGAAAAAATATCTAACACTGATGAAAATAAATATATATAACAAAAAGTCTTACAAATTGACAATAACTTAATAAAAAAAGTGGGCACAGGATAAGAGTAGACAGTTTACAGGAGAGCAAATCCAAGTGGCCAAGAAATATAAGAAAGATGCTCAAACTCTGAATATCCATAGAAATTCACATTAAATGAACAATGTAATATCACTAGCAGAACTGAAAAGATCTGTTAACTCCTATTGCTGGTGAGGATGTGGGGTGAAGGCATTCTCATTCATTGATGGGGGAAATGTGAATTGTTATAGGCTTTGGATTTTGGTAAAGCAATCCTAATTTTAGTTAAATTAAATCTAATTTTAATTAAAATTAAAAACAAATATTCCTGACACAGCAATCCCTCTACTAGTAATTTATCCCATAGAATAAAATTTTGATAAGATTAGAAATACGTTTACTTGACACAGCAATCCCTCTATTAGTAATTTATCATATTGAAAAAAATCACCAGTTGGTAAGATGTTACTCCTAATTTCACCTCTTGGTTCCTGGATCCATGTGTTCTACCTATTGGGGACAGAGTACCACATAATGTTCATTGGTTTAGAGGCTATACTGTGTCCTGGAGGATGGTGCCTCATCCTCACTGGGTATCATTTCAAGGCTGATGCCTCAGTTACCACTCATAGTGGGCAAATGGGCAAGGGTGTTTACTGTGGCGTTCTTGGCAGTGGCAAAAAGACTGGAGACAAAGAGAAAGTGCAGTAACAGGAGGATGGCCAGTACTGACAGACTGTAAAATTAACTGTAAAATTGTGCAACATGGATATTCTAGAAACGGCTGAATAAATTATGGTTGATCCACACTAAATAATATTATTCAGCCATTAGAAATAATGAATTAGGGCTGGCCCGGTGGTGTAGTGGTTAAGTTCACGTGCTCCGCTTCAGCAGCCTGGGGTTTGTGGGTTCGGATCCTCGGCACAGACCTACATGCTGCTCATCAGGCCACGCTGTGGCAGCATCCCACATATGAAATAGAGGAAGACTGACACAGACGTTAGCTCAGGGACAATCTTCCTCAAGCAATAAAGAGGAGGATTGGCCAATCTTCCTCACCAAAAAAAAAAAAAAAAGAAGAAATAATGAATTAAAGTTATACCTGTAGACTTGGAGGGTTTTTTTCATGAGACATGGTTGAAGGAGAAAATGCACAGTCAAGAAATGTGTGTATAAATCCCATTTTATAACATAACTAACTCTCCTTTTATGTACGTTTATGCATTTGTCTATAGGTATGATATATGATTGTCTATATATGATTATTTGAGGCTGGGGAAAGCTACAAAACAATTAGGTTGTTAACATGATTTGGGGATATGGTGTGGTAGGGTGGGAGAGGGTGATCATGGAGGGGAGGAATTAAAGAAGCATTAAAAAAACTCATAAGTGTACTGTAACAATAGTAATAATATTGTTAGAATGGTGGCTTGAAGCAATTAATGTGCCCCCGAAGGACCAACATCCGTATATTAATTTGTCCTTTGGGATAATCTGAATGATGAATAGATTGATGCAATCTCAGCTCTACTTTCCTGCTGGTAATATTGCTCAGAACCGTGCAACAAAATTGAAAGCTAAACTTAATCATCTAGCTCTTGATTAAATTCAGGATCACGTAATATGACGCAAGGAGCAGGGGAAGTGAATACCGATAGTAATTGATTTCCTGGGATATGAACGTTTGGTTTTAATTGTAAAGGAAACTATTATTTCAAGTACCTGGTATCACTGTATAGTTAATATGGTACATCCTTCTCCATATGGTTTTTCAAGGTCTTCCTAAGCCTGGATGTGATCTTTAGTTTCTTGTATTGATGTAACATTCTACCCATGTTTTTTATGGCACTTATCAAAATGTGCTTTGTTTTATAGTTATTTGTGTACTTATTTTATCCTAGTTTTCAAGGACCTTAGGTGGGGGACTCATTTGAAAATTGAATATATCAATTTTATCTCAGAGTACACTCCTTTATACATGATAAGCAATTTATCAATAATTATTCATAATAATAAAATTTGATGGCTTAAAACTTGCATGATTTGAGTAGAACATTTTATAATGAGTAAGGATGATATTTTTTCAACAAAACCCATTGTGCTTCTAATTTTTAGATTTTGATAAAGTGTGTAGTGGTTTTGCAAGGACTACCAAATATCAACCAGTCAAAGAAACACATTGCGGGTTTTGAAAGCGTGCAGCACATGATGGCTTGTTGTATCTTCTACATAACAAAGGTATTTATCTCATTCTTTGTCTATTGTCATAAAATTTAGGAACAATAATGATTTAAAAAGTTAAGCTACTTTTAATCACAGTAATTAGAACACTTTTAAAAATAGCACCCTGAAAGCATTTTTAGATCAAAAGCAAATGGAAAGTGTAAATATTACTGAATAGAAATCTGTTGTAGAACTTTTTGATGAAATTGTGGTGCTTGTCAAAGGAACATTTAATGTTATTTTGAGATAGCATTTGTACATTTTATAGGCATTATATATTGTCACACAAAACAAATTTGTTTCAAAATCCTAAAACATCAATTATATATTTATTACACTGTAGTCAACCTGCATATCATCTTGTCAGGTTGTGACCTCAGTGGAACCTGCAGGCAGACCTGAAGCATCTTAACCCAAGAGTTGAGGCAGGACAGTGGGGCTTGGAAGACCCCAGGAGACCAAGAGGCAGGGTTATGATTGAATGGTCACAGGGTAAAGGAGGGTACGGTAATCCCATGAAATCAGAATGTAAAAAGTGATGTTAGGCCTGAAAGAAGGGGCAGACGAGGCACAGAGGCTAAGGATGTTTCTGAGATTGGTGTGCAGGGCCCTGAACCAAACAGAGACAAACTGCAGAGGTGAAGTCAGACTGTACCAATCAAGAGTGATCTATCTAGGGATCTAAGCCAGGGAGAAGACATAGGCACAATGTTGTCAGAGTATATATAAGGTCAGGATATATAAAGTAGGATGTATATATAAGGCAAATGGAGTTCAAACCATGTGAAAACATCTGAGGACGTTCTTTCCAAACCACAAGTGGACAGAGTAGTCAGGTAGGCTGGGGAAATTGACAGCTAGAGATCAGACAGCAGAGACTGGAGGCCTTGGTGAAGGGCCTAGTGACAGGGAGTGGGGCTGCTGGGTAGCAACTCAGGCATGTTGGGATTGCATAATGAGGGAATAACTTGGCTATGAAGAGAATGGTTATCAAGAGACTGACCACTGGTGTCTGAGTTTAGCCACTAAAAGAATGGCTAAGAGGCACTGGGGACTGTAGGCAAGATTGACCTTGATTTTGAGCTTGCCTTTTTTAAGGCAGGAGGAGAAAATCTGAGCTCTCCTGAATTAGTTGCTCTTTAACACAAGCATCAATCACAATATTACATCAATATCATCATTGCCTTCAGCCCTAAATCAATAAACTTTTGTTTAAAAAATATACACATATAAATAACAGTGGATACCAAGAGTTCTATGACAAGGTCTCTGCCCTTCAGGGGTTTATAATCCTGTTAGGGAGACAGAACATAAAATAGTTTTTCATTTTTATTTCACTTATCCATTCAACAAACATTTATTGATTACCCATCTGTGTCAGGTACTGTTTTGGGCAGTTGATACATGTACAAAGAATTAGAGAGAACCCCAGAGTAGCTTTAAAAGAAGAAGAAGGAGAAGAAGAAAGAGAAGGAGAAGAAGAAAAAGAAGAAGAAAGGAAAGAGGAAGAGGAAGAGGTAGAAGGAGGAGGAGGAAGTGGAAGAGGAGGAGGAAGGAATCGTGGATAACACTCAGGTTTCTGTCTTGGGTGATGGATGGATGGTGGCAGCACAAACAGGGATGCAGGAAGTCGCTAAGGACTGGGACAACTGGGAAAGGCTTCACCTAGGAGATGAGGCTTAAGATATGCTCTAAAGCAAGAGTTACGAACTCAAATGCCTACTGGGGCCAAGGAGGTAAAAGAATTCATGAATTGGTTGGATGTAGGACACACTATGTTGGGTCCTGGGACAAACTGGAGAGGAGGTTCCCTACCAATAGGCATTTAAGTTCATTAAAAAGACAACAACCCTGTCCATCAAATCAAAGGCTGTTTGGACAGTGTTCATTAATTCAACAAATATGAATTAAGTGCTTACCATATGACAGATACCGTTCTAGGCATTGGGGATACAGTAATAAAAAGATCAATTTCCTGCTCTCACAGAACTTATGGTCTAGTGGGGGAGACAGACAACAAACACACACATATAATATAATTCCCTGAAAGTTTAAGTGTTATAGGCAAAAAGAAAAGCATTAAAGGAGAGAGATTTGGGGAGTTGGGCCCAGTTTAGATAGGATGACTCTGCAGCATGTGGAAGAGTAGAATTGAGACAGATGGAGGAGGAACAGCTTTGTAGGTGGAGGGGATGAAGGATTATGTGAGCAAATGTACTTAGGGATTCATGGCCAATTTTAGCCTACAAATGAGGAGGCTAGTTTAGGTGGGGTAAATTGTTCACGTAGAGCAGTGATTCCCAACCTGTTGACTTGAGAGTTATTGTAAGAGGTCTGTGTATTCATAAGTGTGCCTAGTGTTGTTTGTAGACTGAATCAATGTATTCCCATATATGTGTTTTGCTTTTTTGCAAATATGTGTGAAAGTAATTGAAATAGTTAACAAAATTATTTTAGCTTTTGGTTAATGAGAAGAATTACTAGAGAAATGTTATTATAGCTCAAAGGCTTGTGAGAAGGCTGTTTATTTAAGGTAAAGAGATAGTGGAATTTTGGGTAGGTGGCAGTTAAGCGCACACCCTGACTTCCTTTACTTTCAGACTCTTATTTCAGGTGTGTTGGAGCCTGAGTAAGCCGGTTGGTAAAGCCTGGAGGGTATATCTTAGGCCGGGGGAAGGGGGATGGAAAGAGGGCGTTTTTTTTTTTTTTTTTTTTTTT